TTATTTAAGACATGCTAGGAAATATATTCCTTGAAGAAATCACACTTATTTCTGAAATTTAATCATACTATCACTTGCTAAAAAAAAAAGAAAGAAAATGAAGAGTAAGACCAGTAATTTTAAGTAACAAAGGGTAAACTTGACCTAGTTTTGCTGGATTTGTTCTCTGTTCTCTTTTATCAACCCAAGTTCTAGCTGAGTAATTACATAGTTCCCTTTCCTGCCTCAAAGGAGAGTTTTAATAACCTATTTGTCCATACTCTTACTATATTTATATATTCCTCAAAACTTCTTTCTATAATTCTTACATTGCTGGACAGGAGGAGGGGGGTGTTCTTAGAAACCTCATTCAGATTTCTAGAAAACTCATTTAGTAAGATGTTCCCATCTTCTTAAGTCATGAAAGAGCAATTTGAAACCCTCCACCTAAAATATGTCTTCCCTCTATTTTCTAATCCATACTGTAAAGAGAAGTGTGGTTTCAATTGAACTGTAAATCGTAATCGGTCTTTTATTATTTCTCCAAATTCTTAAAGAATAATAAATACTATGTTTTCCCTTCCCTTCTGTAATGATAGAAAAATCTAGTTCTCTTAAGCAAACTTTTAATCACTGCTGCTGTTTTCCTCTGATATTAATGAACAATAACTGAACTATGAACCAAATTAGAGTTTAGCAAATGTGTGCTCATCATATAAATTATACTTTGCTGCAAGATTTTAAGAGCGTATTACAGACTGGAAATGCATCACGTAAATTGCTTTGAGTGAGGAAGGTAAAGTGTAAAAGTGGTGAGCTGTATCCTTAATTCCCCCAGGTTTTCAGGGTGTGGGATATACAGACTCTTTCTCTACTACAAGTCTTCCATGACAGCCAGGGACGAGCAGGAGACATGCAGATTTATTCCATGATATATGATTCCAGCCACGGCATGCTTATCACAGGTAAGTGTACTCAATGAATGGCAAATAAACTCATCTCTTGACTTTTCACCTTCTTTAAACTAGCACGTGAGCGCAAACTTGGAGAAAAACAAAACTCGGAAGGGACTTTATAAACCTTGATTCATCACAGTACATATTTAATTCAATTCCACTCCTCCTCGTATTTCCATGGCTTGTGGGTAAAATGTGCAGCTGAACTTCTCTGAAAATGATGCGTCGGTGCTCTCAGTTCTTGAATCTAGGAAGGTGTGGTGTGGGTTACGCAGAAAAGCGGGATGTAACCTGTTGCTAATACAGGGCAAGTTCAGGTCTGTTTTCACTCTAAGGTGCAGAAATATGGTCTACCTTAGAGCAGCTGCACCAGTTTTCTTGAGCAAAGCAATTTGGCCCCAGGCATTCTGATACTGAGACAGTAGTTACTCAGTAAGAAAGGTGCTGACCCTCCTACCTGCCTTTGCTTCTAGACATGGAACAGTGACAGAGGATAGTCCTGAATGACAGATCCCCAGTGCTGATGCCAACGGATTTGTTGCCTCCTTTTCTTGTTGCCTCTTAGAAACACATGCTTACTAAAGGGACAAAGGACCTGCTAGGCATTTAGCTAGAACACTGTTTATATGCATAACCTCAGGCTTTAGAAGAAAGAAGAACCATATTGATAATACTCTTCCTTCTGGAACACCAACCCAGAATGCATTTCCTAAGCATTTTTCCAGTGACCACCTGCTCTGGCTTCCTCTGGGATTACTTAGGGCGGGGAAGTGGCTGGTTCTATCTTTGCTGTTGGAAAATAGAATTATTTTGAACTTTTGAGTTCCTTCTGGATTAAGAGTGAGTTAGCACTTCATGCTTGATACATAATTTTACATCTTGTTAAACAGAACTTAATTCTAGTTGTAAGTGTCCCTAAAAACAACGTACTAACGATTGCAAGCAAATTTTCTCTCTTAGTGCTCCAGCTTGCATGTTTGATTACTGGGCTCATCATTTCCACCCCATTTATCATCAGAGAAATAACTAAGGACTCTAGTATCAAGACAAAAAAAAAAAGAGGGACAGGAAATCAAGATTTCTTCCTAATTTTATGTAATTGCGATAGTATTTTGCTTACAAATAGAGCTCTGCGTATTGCTTCATCACTAAAATTGCGTACATTGACTGCACCCATCAACTTGGCATCAGAATTCCATGAAGCTTCCCTCTCAGATTTTAATTCATGGTTTGATTCAAACGAAGCAGCCATAGTGATCTTCTTAACCCCAACGACAACAGCCCTACATTCTAGAAATACTATGTAGAATAATATGCTGTGTCACTGTCATTGCTGTTGTTATTGTTACCGCCCTTATTAAGACAGCCACCATTTGTATAGTTCTTTCACAAAGTGCCGTCAGGTACTTCATTTTGTTTGATCTCCACAATCACCACATGAGGTGAGAATTATTATTTATCCTATTTTATAAAAGACAAAGCTGAATATCAAAATTCAAGTTCAGCTGACTAGTAGAAGGACTCAAGGTTGAAAGGTAGAGCTGGGATTCGATCCCACAGCTTCTGACTCCTGAATCCACAGTCTTCCTCGGTACTGCATTATTTCCATAGCTATAATATAAGGAGCCAAAAATGTTGAGGATTGCCACCTCTTCATAAGCATATTTAGATTTGCTGATGTCAGTTCTGAATAAAGTTAGTCACAGTCTATATAATGTTAAGGGTTCTACCAAGAAGATTCAAGTGTTATTTGATTAGCTGCTTATGATATTCCTCATATTTCCATATTGAGATATTTGAACTGAAAAATATTCTCTAGAGAGCCATCACAGTCCTTCTTTACACACAAATAGATTATTTTAAATTTTAAACACCTTAGAAAAGTGTTTAGTAACTCCTACTGAAACTTTTCCTAATGTTGAGATTTCTTTGGAGAGACTTGAGAAACTCAACGCAAGGAAAGGAAATCCCCATCAAAAATAAGGCAGAGGTTTCATTTTTGTTTGAGCTACGGGATGCTCTGGAATTCTTATTTATATTTCCAGACATTACACTTAACCAAGAGTTTGAGAGTTTAATCATACTCACAGATTACCGTATTCCTATAAAACCAAACCAAACATCCTTAGAAGAATGCAGGTAAGGAATACCTGCTCTCCATCTATTTCACTACGGTGATTTGGAAAATAATCTTATTTAATATTAATGTTGCAAGAACTGGCTTGCAATCATTGTTACTGGTTACATTTCATAAGACCATGTTTACAATGTGCTTAGCATCCATTGGTTGAAAAGGGCTTTCTAACAATAAACTCTAAACACTAAATGGCAGCTTACCTTCAGCAGAAAGCTGTCTCCATTTGGTTCATAGTTATTACTCTTCACCAGATGGAGAGGTGTGCAGTAGGCACTCTAAATGGGGAAAAGTAGACTATAAACAATAGGAAAATGGGGATCACTGAAAAGAGGATATCAATGAAATCCACATGGCCTGCACTTGAAAACTAATGAAGCCCAAAACGAATGCTTTCCTCTGGCTGAACCACGTTTGCTTTATCTATCAAAATTGTTTTAGAGTAAATGAATGTATTTTTACATCATTAAAGACTTCCTAGGCATTGGTATTACTAAGCTCACTGGTTGGCTGTTTCTAAACACAACTGGTTGGATAAAATCCTTCGTGATTCAAAACTTCTAATATTGGATATTGATGAGATTGTTATCTCTGTTCCAGGATCTAATGTTATCGACATGTATCCTTTGACTCGGATCATACAAGATACAAAACAGATTCCTCACACTCATGAACGAGAAATCAATGTCTTGCTTTACAACAAATATTTTCACCAAGTACTTACTATCTGCTCTGAATCCATAATTAAGGTAAGTACATATTGACTCTTCAGAAAGAAAAACGCAAAGCAGATAGAATTTTCTCTTCTTACTGGTAAGTCATTGAGTGATTAAGTAAAAATAGTGGCACATCTGATGAGACCCTACACTTGAGCTATTTTTAAGCTTTCCTGAACACATGAAAACAAGTATTTGAAGCCAGCTCAGGCTGCTTGGTATTAAGTCACATGCTCATTAAGTAAATACAGCTAGTAGTTACTATCAAAATAGGAATTTTAAAGAAAATATGTCAAGGAGAGAGAAGTAATATATATATGTATGTTTTTTTTTTTAACTGAGCTATGGAAAAAGGGTATGTTAAGAAGGAAGGGAAAGAAATTGATAGATGTTTCTTATAACCCGTAGAGGTGTGAAATATGTGCCAAGTGCCTTAAACCCATGACCTTACTTAATCCTCACAATAGTTCTCTGTGGACAGATCAAGCTCCATTCTGAAGGTGAACAAACTAGGGCTCGGAGAGAACAAGCAACGTGCCCCAGTTCACACAACTAGTAAGCATCAGGACTGGGATATGAACCCAGGTTTGTCTGATGTGAATGCCTCTGTCCTTCCCTCTGCATTCCTCTGGCCCTGCCATTACCGTTCCCCAGAGGCCAGAGCACCTGACTGTCCTAGGCGCATCTGTAATTACGACCACTGCGGTCATCTAGCAGTGATGGCTAATGGTGTTTGCTTCTAGCGTTCATCCTTTCATTCCACGCATGCCCGCCAAGAGAGCCATGGGGCTGTAGAGCGTGTTGCTCTGCAAACCCTTCAAATCCCCTCTCAATCCTTGAGCTTCTCTGCATATCTACCGGAGATTTTCTCAGGCCAAAGTCTCCTGAGCTCAGCCAGTTATCACTGTTTCTGGCAATGCCTACAGAGTAAGTAGAGGGAACTTAAACCTGTCCTGCTTTCATGCACTATGACCTTTTATGGGGAAAACATCTTCCCTGTAACAGTGCAAGGTGGGAGGAAGACATCTAGGTGAGTTTCCGTACCTGATTGGTTGGAGAGGGACCGTACATCAGGCCAGGAAATGGGTGACCTCTGAAACCTATGCTTAAGCTGCCTCTGTCCCCAAATAGCTTGAGGGGAACCAAAGTCATCCTATGTTGCCACTTCAGTGTATTACTCACTGGCAGTGTAATTTACATATGATCTTGGCAGCTCCGTGAAGAGGGAGAGATTCAGACTGAGGGGCTGCAGGACTAAAGTCCCTACTGTGTTTCTAAAGCACGATAATGATGGCCCATGACATGTTTCTGGGTTTTCTGATCACACTCAGCCTAACTACACAGACAGGCTTCTCTGAAGTCTCAGCCTCCCCCTCTCCATCCCCTGCCCCCCCCCC